ATATATATATATATGCAGTTTATATAACGCTTCAGCCTAATGAGAAAAAGTAAAGCCTCCCCTCGAAACCTCATCCGGAAAACACTTCGGGCATGGTAAACCCCTATGATGGATATATAATCTATTTCCGTCACTAACTATAGAATTTGTAGCACAAAAAATAATACATATATTGCGGATCCGTGAACACTTGAAACAATATAAATAATGTGTTACAATATACACTACTTTTAGGGCTTGAAATCCTTTTTTTTTCACATTCGTTATAGTCAAGGTCTAGATGATCGATTTGAAGGCTTCCCAACACGAGAACTACAACTTTTGGTGAGATTCAAGACAGGGCTTTACTTTTTTCCATATGGTCTAGGCCTTATTTTAACCTTTTGCTATATATGTGTATGTGTGTGCGTGTGCGTGTGCGTGTGTGTGAATTAAGTCCACCTTAACATTTTCTTCCCTCTCCTTGAACCTTTCTATCAATTTAGGGCATGCCTGCACAAGAAGAAAGGAATAAGACCAGTTTTCATGCAAACTGTATAACAAACCAATGATGATGGGAATCTGTACCCTCAAACAAGAAATTGAGAAAGCGAAAGAGTAAGATAGAGAGAGAGAAGACCATGCAGCATCTTTGAATGATTTGTATGCGATGCATTCTATTTATGCCATTGAGCATGACCTTTTTTGCATTCAAAACGAAGTAATTGGCATTTAACCAAAAAAGCACATTATTAGTACCAATTTATGAAATGTACCCAAGTGTCACAAATCGGAATTCCATCCCACTCCATAACAAACCATCAAAGACGGAAATGTCTCAACCAAAAGACCAAAATAGAAAGAGTGAGAGCGAGAGAATGCCAGAGAAAAAGGGGATACGGGGAGAGAAAGCCATGCAGCATATTGGAGAAGCAGTGCATGGTGCCAGTACAGTCTATGGTATTTAGCATGAGTTTGGGTGCATTAAAAAATCAAGTACTTGGCAACCTAGCGAAGCACATTATTGGCATTAAATATCAATTTACAAGATTGTTACACAAGTTCTACAAATTAGAAATTCCACAAACTGATACATGCCTCCTTGTAGAGTATTGAAAGCATCTCTGGACGAGAAACAATTACAGCAGACAGACACTTTGCGGCTGCTCTCCTGACTTTCCAACTGATATCTTCATCATCGCTATACTCATTGGCACTCTCTCTAAAATCCAAAAATTCAGAAACCCGAATACACAAGTTAGATCTATCAAACAAAATGAAATTTGTGAACTTCCTGTTGAAATTCACAAGCTACTCACTCATCCTCCTCCTCATCCTCGAGATTTTCATTATCAGTGTCTTCTTCCATATTGTCTGTGAAGTTCGGGTCATAGCTTAAATATTCAAGAGTTAAATCTAAAATTTCATTGCAGTACACTGATATGTCCCTGGGGCATCTGAGCAAGAAACTTTCCAGTGCCTGTAAAAGGGTCACAGCATGGAGTGAGAGAGAGGGGGAAGGAGGGAGGGGAGGAAGAGGAGGAAGGGCATGCCTATCAAGAAAAGAAGGGTAAATATCAGGATAGTACTTGTAACACCTGCATACATCAGGCAGGTGGCAAGAAACTTACATATAAAGATAATACTTGGATGCCACTTAAGTTTCAAAAAAAAAAGATTATTCGACCTAGTCTTGTATATCAGGCACATGCCCAGCATCCTTTAACCTAAGGGTAAATTGGTCATTTGAAGAATTGATTGTTCAAATGCTGTCATGGTATTTCAAGTTTTTGGGGCCACCTGCATGATCTTTCCATGCGTTCCACGTACTGTCCTGATATATATTACGGGCCACATAAGCAAAGGAGGAACCCTAAAAGGTTACAAAATGTTCGAAAGCATATTTATACCTGCAAACTGTACTCACGGAGCTCTTCATCGACTTCTGACGCATTCACACAGTAACTGATCAGCATTGGGACTGTCTCACTAAGATGTGGTCCAAAGCGGTATCCAACAGCCCGGCTGTATGAGCAAAGTATTATAAGTTATACCCAAAATCAACATAATAAATATGAACATGACCTCACATAAAGCTCAACTAAAATAAACAGACTAACAAAGGAAATAATGGAATGGTCTATAAGACCATAGTACGGCCATGAGATAACGGTAAGGGGCATGGTCCTAAAGGTCATCATCATCCAACTGTGATGCACGGATACTTCAAAAGGGGTATTGTAACCATGTTAGATATTTTAAAAATATACGTAAAAGTGAATTGTCAAATAATTTGGAAAATTATACTATACAGGCCTTGTATATGGCTTATATAGTATCATTACAGGCCTTGTATATGGCTTATATAGTATCATTACAGGCCTTGTATGAGGCTTATATAGTATCATTACAGGCCTTGTATATGGCTTATATAGTATTATTACATTTTTTTCATTTTTCTGCTGTCTATGATCAATATCAAACAGTGAGGTGGATCATTCCTTTACTCATGTCCACCTTTGCCGATTGAGCAGAGGAATTGTCCTGGATGAGATAATGCTTCACACACATCATATACATGTTTTTTTAGTCCTTGGAAAGATAATGCATGCATCAGCTTGCACCTTAAGAATTTATTGGGGATACTGTCGATTACATTTTAACATTTGGTCCTGCCCCCCCCCCCCCCCCCCGCCCTTTCAACTGAAAAATATCTTTAGATTTTTACATTATTCTCCTTTAAAAAAAAAAAACTGTTAAGTTTGGTAGATGGTGTTTTTGGTCTTTGCCTCTCAATTTGCAGCCAGGTGCTCTAGGTTATTAAGGAAGCATGTATGGTATGATCCATATGATCACAGTAGCAGCATGGTCATAGGCATCGTTACCATCCAATCAATCAGCTGGATGGTGATAGTGGGACATTGGGATATACAGTCAAGTTAATGGCATATTTCGATGGACCCACTCTCTTCCATCACTCTTTAACCTATAGATCAGATGGCTATAGGCACAGGTACAGCTAAACATCAAGTTGCAGTGACTTTTATTGCTCAAGAGTAGGAGAGGTAAAACAAGAATATACAGGATCAAACAAAAAGCAGGTACATGATGACTCCAAGGAACAGTTTAAATCTTTCCTCTTTTTAGAGTGATTCTACATAACTGTTATTTTTTTAGCAAAAATTCTATAGAACAGTTCCAGAAGGTGAAAGTTTCCTGCATAGCTAATAAAGAAGGCTAGTAACAAGAACAAAAAGTCATTAGGAGTATATCATTGTGAAGGAAACAAGAATGATTGACAAATCAAAATACGGAGGCTGAAATAAACCCTGCCATATAGTACAGGGAGATAATTTAATGAAGAAAATTATAAGCACCCAATGAGCTCTTTTTATTAAGTACACTGATAAGGCAGTCATCTCACTCTCATTAATATCAAGTTTAAATATAAAAAAAAAGAGTAACATATTCCAACATACCTAAAAGCTCCAATCATCTGGATGTTTGTGCGTGTTAACTCTGGTTTGGTGCCCTTCTTTTTCAGTAATTGAACAACTTCAACAGTTGCTGCTGCCAATAGATCGTCTGATAAACTTGAAGACAGCGAGGCTACAAGATATTGAGCAAGTTTAATATCTATGGTCACACAATTAATATTGATAGACCAATGAAATGCAGAGAGAGTGATGGAGAGACTGGGAACCAAAGGGACAGTGCACAACTCCAGGGGTGGTCCCACTGCCTCTCCATCGCTGTCCATTAATTAATCAAATGGTGATGACCCAGAGGACTATGCCTTTTCCATAGTCCATTGGGTAATAGTATACATGCTCTGAAGGGCTGAATCAAATACCAATACAAGAAATGGATTTCTTTCTGACACTGGCTTGGTTGGAACTCAGCTGTGACAACAGGGACCTAAGCAGTAATAGATGATCATGTGTCATCAGATTGCCAAATCTATGGAGAACATCACACAGGATGTCAAGACACTCGCACTTTATTTCTGTGCTCAAGCCCTGGGCACAGGAAGAGATAAAAGAAACGCATGTTACATCACACAGGAGCCAAGATATTTGGAGCCCTCTGTCAAAAAGTAAGGCATGTCATATCCAAGGAGGGAGGGAGAGAGAGAGAGAGAGAGAGAGAGAGAGAAAGAGAGAAAGGGGTCGAGGGAGGGAAGGAGAGTACATGAAAAGGGAAAATGACTAAACAGTGTCTGGGAAACCAGCATTTATCAGAGAGTTATCCAAGAAAACCAAAAACACAGACAGCTACTTGATCCGCAGAAATTTTTCGCTATAACTATTTTGCCAATGCTATGGTGTTTCAATTCCAGGACTACTGGGTAAAAATTATAATTAAAAAAAAAGAAAAAGAAATAATCTTGATAGCTGAAAAAAACAATTAACTTAAAAAGTTGATAAACAATTGCTGAAGAACCATGCCTTTGCAGGGTCGGTGACCTAAGAAAAAATCTTCAGAGCTCTCTTAGGACACATACAATACTTTCAGTACACAAAAAAATCAAAAAATTAAATGTTAACATTCTCAAAAAAAAGAAAAAATCCTCAGAGCTGAAGAAGTTAATTAACGTAAAAAATTGATAAACAATTGCTGAAGAACCGCACATTTGCATGGTCAGTAGCCTTAGAGAAACCCCAGTCGATCATCTGATAACAAGAGGAATGCCCATTCCAAATTCGTGTTATATGCCAGTCGATCATCCGATAACAAGGGGTATTGCCCAGTCCAAATTTGTCTTATGTGGGTAGATAATGCAGAAACAGTAACTCATCAGTTGCTACATTGCCCTATAGTTATTGAGATTTGGTCTTTTCTGTTGGAATTGTTTAACCCCACTTGGGTTCTGTCCCCTTCCTTTGAAGTCCTGCTAAAGGAGTGGCTCACCAGATTTATGCAAAAACAAAGATCTCAATCCCTGAGACTGAGTATTGACGTATTGCCACTTTAATGGGTAAATTCACTAGAGAAGAATAATAATTAATAAAAGATAAAAAGGATAAAAGTCCACGGGTGAACATGATTAGAGACAAAGTACGGGCCATTATAATATCTTGGCCAAGTGTCGAAGAAGAATATTGAGTGATATTTTGCATTTGATATTCAAAATCAATGGAACCAAATTGTATATATGAAGACAACAAGACAGGAGAAACCTTCTAAATGGAGTAAAGGACTCCAACCCAAGAAGGTATATTAAAGTTGAACTTCAATGACAGCTATCAAGGGAAGAAGGTCTGGCAGGTGCAGGAGGCATAGTAAGGAATCATTTAGCAAGATTCTGTTGGCATACTCTGCTCCCTTGCACCTTGGTGAATCCGGAATAACTAAATCATGGTTGCCACTTGTTGGTCTTATGAATCAGCACCCAAGCCGGAGTTCTATCATCACTAAGTGTGATTCTAATGCAAATGCTGGGGCCCTAAAGGGGAGGCCTTGTCCTTGGTGCCTAAACAACTTTTTTAAGGAAATATGGGATAGATTGGCAAAAATTAGGAACTTATTAAAATACTTGTCAAGAGAAACCAATGAAGAATCTGATTCTTTTGCTATAGACTATCCAAACAATTATCGTCGGTGACTAGATGCGGTGACTAAAGGGCTTCTTTATAGAAGCTTCTTCATTCTACTGTACATAAAATGAATTTTGTAAAGGCAAGCCATACTTGTACATCAATTATTTCGATAGTTGAATAAAAGCCATCATTTTCCCCAAAAACAAATTCAGTAGCTTCCATTTCATAATTATTTTAATTTTCTAAACATGGACCAGGGGTAAATACATAACAATTGACAGTTCCAAGCATTGAACCATTGGCTCAAATTTTTGGGCATATATACAGTAAATGCAGGTATCCCATCACTGTTTTGCCATTTCCCCAACATAAAATAAAAAACAGGGTTTTTGTATTATAAGTAGGCACTCTAAAGAGTCAAAGTGCATTTAAATACATACAGTGCTTGAGATGCCCTGAATTAATTGTGGGGTAAGAGACTCAAGAATGCGTAAAGCAACAGCAGTTGCGGTAATCTCAGAAACAATTGTTTTCAAGGCTATACTGGCAGTGTCACGATGCTGATCTTTTCCATGCAGCAATCTATCACATAACTTCTCTGTCATATCCAAAACTCTGTCCTGACTGACCTTCTTTACCAATGGTGCTAAACTGCAAATGCACATCAAAAGTAAACCATAATCCAACAACGAATGAAGAACTTGAAGCATCAAGTTAGTAACAAGCAGACCACAAGATTAAAAATTTTAACCCACAAAACAACCAAAAGTCAATCTAAAAAGTATACAATAACCTAGTGGACTACAAAAGGTTGATATAGAAAGTACGTTATGAAGAAAACCATAACCATGGGGGCAAAACGGTCCAGATTAACAAGTATGGTGTGAAAGTAGGACCACCTTTAGGGCACATTTGTTTTTCTGAAAGATATTTTCTAGAAAGTTTAATGTTTTGTTGTGGAAGGTTTAATTAAGTTCTGGGTAATGTTAAGAAAGTTTTGGGTACTGTGTTTGATAACATCTATATATATATATATATATATATATTAACAACATAAATATAAATATATAATATATAACATAATATAATACAAGTTTTAAAAAAACAGATCGATGACTCGAATCCGTCACACCCATACCCATGTCGGATAGGAGAATCGGTGGAACGGATTGCAGAATCGGCCATTTTTTTTCAAAAAGTCAAAATCTCTAAAAATAGTGTTCTTTTATTTTCTAAAAGATATTAGGAGTGGTGTATTATGTATTTTCGTTACTTTGTAAAAATAGGTGAATACTGAGACGTTGTTTTCCCATCTGGATGCTTATATAATTATTAATTCTAATAGGGCAATGATTTCATGCAACCGTTTTATAGTACTATGATGCAACAACCTGAAAAAACCATCTTATGGCCATTTGTTTGATTCAAATTTTGAAATATACACTCTTTTCAGTCTAATGAACAATCACAAAAAAAAAAAAAAAAAATTGAAAACACAACCTAGAAAGTAATTTTTTAGCCCAATTAACATAGGCCGTTCCTTTTGATGAGATACTTAGATCTAGGCCTTAGAAGGA